CCACACACACAACAACAACAACAACCGCCATTCACCACTAAGTGGCGGTGACTTCACCACAGCAACCACACACACACACCACAACAACTGCACATCTACACGATGCAACCACACACACCGAAGCAAACACACTATGCAACCACACACACACACCACAGCAATCACACATCTACGAGATGCAACCACACACACCAGACGCAACCACACGATTCAGTCGCACACACAACAGAACCACACACGACACACTATAACCACAGCAACCACACACAACGAAGCAATCCACACATCTACAAGATGCAACCGCACAATACAACCAGACACACACACACCACAACACACACAGATCTACACAATACAACCCAAGGCCGTAATTATAATGTCCCCCCCCCCCAATATATTGCTATAAAATAGATTTCTGTTTTATGATGGTGGTTATGGTTGTACTTTATTAATCCCTAATCTTTGCCATTACATGCAATGAAACAAGAAAATGTAAAAAAATAAAAATCAGAGCAATGTAAATACAATAACACTATTAGACATTATTGTAAAAAATAAATAAAAAGTAAATCCTATGTGTTAGTGATTTTTTTTTAATATTTTAGGCAGGAAATTAGTTTTCAAATTTAGATTTTTCTGGGGGGGGACCCCCAGACCCCCTGGAAGATTGGTCCCCCCCCCAATGTTCACATCATGGCTACAGCCTTGATACAACCAGACACGAGACAACCACACACCACAATATACCACAACAACCGCACATTTACACGATACAGCCACTCACACCGTTCACACACCACACAGTACAACCGACCGGGACTACCACAAAACCGCTTCAGCAATGCAGCGACAGCCACACAACCCACAATGCGGTGATACTGAAAGGTGATTCACTATGTAACACGATTTTTGTTCCTGGGTAGTAAGTGTTATTTTCCAATTGCTTATGCCTCAAAAGTACAGAAATGGCTATTATGTGACCAGGATTTTACGTGAAGAAATTACACAAATGCGCAAGTTTTCTCATTCAAAACAGGTAAATTTCAAAATATCACAGTCCCGGTCACAAAAGCAAAGTTTGTGGGGAATAATAGCCATTTTCTGTACCTTTCAGGCGTAAGCAATTGGAAAATAACACTTGCTACCCAGGGACAAAAAATGTTTTGTTACGCACATCAGCCACACAATATACGTGCAAAGCAGCCGACACCCACGCACAAATCGCACGCACGGCCACCTGCGCCCCCACGGTTCTCCCTCTTCTTTGGCTACAACTTCAGGCGCTGCGCTCCTCATTTAAGGCTCAAGTCAAACGAGGAGAGACCGCAGGGCAAAGTTGCGGTCAGTGACATTGGCCGCAGCGGGAGTCAAACCCGAACCCCCGGGGGTCGCAGTCGGCGCGGGGTCGTGAGAGTGCGTTAACAGAGAGCAACGTCTTCTTTGGTTCTTTCGGTAAAGTCACCACGTATAATGAGAATAAAATAATAAAATAAGACAATAAAATTCCCACGACGTTTCGGCCACAACACAAGTAGCCGTCCTCAGGTGAAGAAACAGGACTGTCCGGAAGACAGCGCTTGAGTGAAATGAAATTCTCACGGCCGAAACGTCGTGAGAATTTTATCGTTTTATTTCATTATTTTATTCTCATTCTACGTGGTGACTTTACCGAAAGAACCAAAGAAGATGAATCCTTGCAGTCACGAAAGCTTTAAATCGAAAGAGAGCAACGTTTTCGTCAAAGCTACCAGACGTCCCGGAAAGTCAATGAGCACGCACACCGGATTATAAGACGCACTCCCCCAACGTTGCTTTTGCAATACGGAGGGAACGGTGCGCTGCGTCTTAAGGTGCGGTGAGATTGGTTCACGATCGCAGTCGTAGCGACCGAAGAACAAAATAACGTTCGTCGATGACACTGCGGCTTGCTAAGGAAGGAGGGGAAAAAAACAAGATAGAGTCGGCGACGTTTCGGGCAATGGCCCTTCTTCACGGCACATTGAGAGGTCAGAGAGTGCAATGGCCAATAAGAGTTGGATACCGTTCGACAATATACGCATTGGGGTCATTTAATACGTGTTCTTTGTGAACAGTGTACATTGGCATGTGAATAGTGAAACACTTTGAGTAAATATTAAGTTAAAAAAATATTAAGTTGACATACAAATCCGTCGATGATAAAAAAATGCATTACGAAATAAAAGTAATTTGTATTTTACGTGAGATTTTAAAATGTTGCGGGTACATTTCATCGTAGGTGGCTCTGGTGTAGCGTGACGGATTCCTCATGAATAACATAATCATCATAGCATTTTGCAAATCTTTCCTCATCTGTAACCTACCGAATAGCCTCCGGGGAAACATAGTTAGCGTCGGGACTGAAAAATAATAAAACCCGGAGATTGTTGGCTGGTTTCACTCAGAGGGCAGGGTCAGCCCGAAGTTCGAACTTTTGCCACACACACATATACGATCTCCACCATCATCACCACCAACAGTTACTCGTAATCCCTACACACGCGTGTACATGCACACGCGTGTAAACACCCTTACGTGCACGTGTACATTTACGCACAACAGACAAAGATACCCATATAGCCTAAACCGACTGTTGGGGCAAGTGCTGTTCGCGAGCACATGCAAACACACACGCACGCACACACGCGTACACACGCACGCACACACGTGTACACACGCACGCACACACGTGTACACACACGCACGCACACACGTGTACACACACGCACGCACACACGTGCACACACACACACGCACGCACACACGTGTACACACACGCACACACGTGTACACACACGCACGCACACACGCACACACGTGTACACACGAACACCTTGGGTCTCACCTGCAGCGAGCAGCGCCAGCATGGCGCACGTGCGTGCGGGGAGACATGGACTGCGCGCAGAGAGGAGAGGCGCGAGGGGGGAGGAGGAGAGGGGGAGCAGGGTGGGAGGAGGAGAGCCGAGGGATGGGGGCGCAGGTTGGGAGGAGAGGGGGGGCAGGGTGGGAGGAGGAGGAGGAGAGAGGAGAGGGGGGCAGAGTGAGAGGGATAGGGGGGGGGGTCAGGGAGGAGAGGAGAGGGGGGCAGGGTGGGAGGAGAATCGAGGGGTGGGAGGCGCAGGATGGGAAGTAAATGGGAAACGCATGGAAAAGGAGGTGGGGAGGGGGGATCTGGATTCTAGGGGGGAGTTGGCGTGGCGGGGGGGAGGGGCTCGGGATCAAATGGCTCAGAGTGCGTTGCTATCTCGTCGGATCGGGGGGCCGAGTCCGGCGAGCGCTTGCCAGGTGTTGACGGCAGGACCGAGTGTCCACCTCGTCTCATCTCCGTGGTTAACGCGGGGTTCCTCCTGGTTCCCTCCGGGTGTCTCCCACATGAAGCCACACGCTCGTCAATGGCAATGATCAATATTGAAGTAAACGTCTTGAGACTCGGTGAGGCTTTCCTAGATACATTATTTAGCTTTACCGCATTATTATTGCTACCGTGTTGTTGTTTTTTTTATCCTTACGCACACGCGCGGGGAATTTGCGGCCACGCTTGTGTCTAAGAAGATGACCCGAATAGAATTCGCACGCTAAGCAATCACTCCCCCACCTTCATTTGGTTTTAATCCCCCTTCGAGTCACCGGAGGGTTCGAGACTCTTCCACCCAGTCTGCCGAACAAGCGCAAGAGAGGTGCTTGTGTAAACGTTGGTCGGTGTTTAACACGTGGGAGGCTTTCGCGACCAATATTATTCATAATAAAGGTTTTTGGGTTAGATCGCGTTATTTATAAATGTGTCGTAACCCTCCACCACCCGACATGGCCAATCAGCAAAAAAGTGTCACGTTGACAAAAGACGAATAATTCACTACTTTAGCCCACCGTTGTGTTGAAGAGTGAATCCACAACATTTACCAGTTTGAGTACGACGTTTCGCTGCGAGGGCTTTACCATTCTGGCGAATTGCCTGATGATGCTGGATGTAATTACCAGCGAAACGTCGTACTCAAACTGTAAATGTTGTGGATTCACTCTTCAACACATCGGTGGGCTAAAGTAGTGAATTATTTGTCTTTTGTCAACGTGACACTTTTTTTGCTGATTGGCCGTGTCGGGTGGTGGAGGGTTACGACACATTTATAAATAACGCGATCTAACCCAAAAACCTTTATTATGAGTTGGTCGGTGTGTACGACGGTGTGGGAATTCTCAGAACTGAATAAGTAAAGTAAAAAAAGACTGCGATGTTCGTGTGTACGCACGTTAGGTGTGTGACCGGCTCTAGGTGCAGTGTTGGGTTGAGTGTGAGATTTGCTGTTGGCTTATTATTGCGTGCAGTGTTCAGATTTTGGTTTACACGGACTTCTAAGTTAGTTGGTATCACCACCAGCTCTGAGTGTTTTGCTTTTAGAGTAGTGTTTGAATGAGTCTGGACAATCGGTTTTAGTTCCTCCTTGTGAGACAAGACACCCTTCCTCAATGCTACATGGCAAAGATTCCCCGTGTAGCCTTACCATACTCTTGCGGAAAGTGCTGGGAGCGAGCCGGCATGGCACACGAGGTGGGTGGCCAGCACCACGACCGGCCGCCTTTGTCTCCCCAGTGGCGATGTTTACACACCACACCAGGTACTCATCTGAGGCCGAGTCGACCGAGTGGAGGCCCAGGACCGGATCAGATAATGAACCGCTATTACTGCTGTTGGTCGTCCTGAGCGGTAAGCGAACTCAGGTGGACGGGTTCGTATACACAACGCAACGACCACCGCTCCCCCTACCACAGTCACAATTAGCCTCACATGGATTCGCACAGAGAGGCCTTGGTCAAGTGTATTTAGTTTAAGCAGGCAAGAGAACTCAAGATAGATCAGGATGAGTCTCATTTACAAGAGTGACGTGGGTCACCAGCATGTCACATGTTGACGCACAGCTGCCCGTGTGGGGTGGGGGGGTGCGTGGCACGACGGGGTTGGGAGGCAGAGACACTCGGACGCGACGAATGTTTTCCTTTTTTTAATGGAAAAAACCCCACAAAATCACAGTCAATAGAACGGGTACCCGAGCGGGCGGTAAAATAGAACACCGGACTGCAAGAGGCGTTCGCTTGCACACAGAAGCGTGTTTCCCCTACCGCACACGGCCGTTTTGATTCCACATTGCACATAACTGGAAGCCAAGTTTGTCTGAAGAAATCTAAGCAGGGCCAAGTAAAATGTGCCCACAGGCACGGACGGGTATGGTTCTTCTTGCATATCGACCAAACTCTGCTCGTCACGTTTCTTGACTGGCAAATGTGCACATTGGTGTTTGACACAAACAATATATCGTGGCTTACAACACTTTATAGCGTTACTTTTCTGGTCGGGTTTCACTCTGTGCCTGGTGGATTTTGTTTTTTAATTCGACTCTGAACCAGAGACTTTCAATTCGGTTTGAGTTTGTGGGAGGGAAACAGACCGACGGGTTTGCTGTCACACACTCGCACAAACATCGCAGAGTCAAATCCCTTGACAAATGTCATTATTTATGTACATGAGATTTCAATAATGCATTCATTACTAGCGGCGCCTTCCGCTGCACTGCAGCCTGACAATTTAGGCGTGTCACGTTTTCTAAAATTCCCCGGTGCAGTAACACGAGCCACCCAATCCGCTGCGCCGCTGTCGAGTAGACACGACGCGCTCCTGGATGCAAAACGAGTTGGCATTCCTGTGTAGTGTTCCGGGACGATTTGTGGACGTTAAAACCCCACACCAACACGAAGCTAGACGAAATTGCGCACATTTGTAGTTTTCAAAGAACCGTGTAAACGTCATTCTGAATTTAAAACCCGTTCTCGAGTGGGGTGCCCGCCCGCGTGCGCATGTGGTCAGAACGTTGGTTACAAACGCTGTGAGCGAGCAGCGCCTGCACACAGGAGGATGGTTTGGGCCCAGCAGCCAAGGCTGCCCCGATCACATCCGTCCCTCCTCATCTATTTATACAATAGAAGAGCAGCGGACCAGGATTCTAATCAAATTGCTAGCGACGTTGCGAAATAGTGGCACGGTGCCGTGACGATGACGCACGCGGTTTGCCCTTGTCATTTCTAGTTTGAAGGCGAGGAGTTTAACGACGCATTCGATCGTGCTCGATCGGATCCTCCACGGAGGCCCAGCTCCTCTCGCCCCAACCAAGCAGCAGACGCAGGAAATGCAAACAGCTCGCACGGGTACCCAGAATACCGTGCGGGCACTTCTACGAGACGCGAAACACACGAGTCCAGCACGTGTTCCACCCATGTTGGAGATAACCAACACAGCAAGGCCACTGTGATGGTTTCTAAGTACGACCACCAAACTCGTGCACCTTCATCGGAGGACCATCAGCACAACACGGGCCAGCCAGTAATAACGTGCATCAAAAGGCCAGGTTTCGGAGAAACTTATTATAAAACAAGTTTGTCTGTTGATCCAGGGCTGCACTAGTCATGTACAGCCGAGTCTCAAGACATCAATTACGGCCCTTCCGAAGAAGAAGAGTTTTTATCCGATGCTAATCCTGTAATCCTGGTGTTTTTGGATCGGGTCTCATTAAAAAATCATACAATAAAATGTAAAACCCCTAAGGATCTCCAATTGGCTGGCAAATGCAGCCTCTTGATTGGCTGGCAGGGAGCCACAATTCTCCCCCTCGTGTGTCGAGTCCATAACTAAGCTTTCGACCAAGCTCATGGACGGAGCCTCAAAGGAATAAAGCGTCTCACTATTCTCATGGCTCAGACAGAAGTGCTGAGCTGTTTTATCTCTGATGACGATGAAACATTAAGGATGGTGAACCTCACACTGGCAGTGTCACGTCATTTAAAGTCCTACAGACCCAAACTGTTACTATCGGTGCTGTCCAGCAGACTGCTTCATTATAGAAAGTGTGTATGGTGCATCGAGTGTCTACAGCTTGGCCGTACACCACATCAGGCGACTTCACTCGTTGAGGACGGCGGTTAATTGACAAGTAGGCTAATTCAGGATTTTTTTCCACGTTTCAGGGCTTAGCTGCACCACACTTGATCTAGACAAACTCGACTCCATCCAAAGGACTGGCATATCGGTGAACACAACCATCGATTTATTCAGTTACGCCAAACTTAACTGGGGCTCCATCGTCCATGCTTCAATGCATCTGCCACAGCCACAATGCGCTGAGAGTTAGCGTCACCAATGACAGCCCGAGTTAAAAAAAAAAAACGCAACTTCAAATTTAAATAATCTTGAAATGCTTTCGTACTTGGCTTCTTTACGAATGGAAACAGTAAAATTGGGAGAACCGTAATCGTGGATCTGTGCAGCGGTTAGAGACCGCTGCTATGCAGTGGGTGACCTGGTGGTTCTCAGCCTGGTCCCACAATGACTGCACAAACAATCCACTGTGTGTGTGTGTGTATATATACAGTATACATCTCTAGTTTTGTCGAGTCCAGCTCTGAGGGATAAACTTGTGCGAGCATACATTTGGGATGAGAGATGCGCGACGAGCCACTCGACCATGCCACAGAGGGCCCACCTCGCCCCCCGTGTTTAGAAGCGAAAGGCCGAACCCAGTGGAGATGAGTGAATTCAAGTCGTTTGTGGAGACGTCTCTTGAGGAATTAGTTTCGAGGAGCGAGGCTGCTCGGCCGCGTTAGGAAACGCCACGGTCGGTGGTTTTCTTCCGTCTCTTGCATTGAAGTCGGGGGAAGACCGTCTCCTCCTTCTTGGCTGTTACCACCGGAGCGGCGGCGTTTTCCCACTGACAAGCAGCCGTGAGAGGATGCGGGGAAGTGGGGGGGGGGGCCCGCGGGGTCCAAGGGTCTGGACGGAGGGGGGCTGGGACGGGAACGGCCGTCTCAGTGCTCCTTGTAGCTGCGGAAAGAAAAGCTAAATCAGGATATTTATTCTGGAGGAATCCGATGAACCGTGAAGCTCTTTTTTCACAGATGTCCAGTAGGCGGGCGGCTCAGAGAGCAAGGGTGAGAGACCGAAGCAAACCCGGATTCTGGATCACAATCACGGCACGTCCCAAACACTGCGTAAACACACACACACACTGGTATACCCACAACAAACAAAAGTTCAACATGGTATTCTTCAACAACAAAACTCACAAACTCATAGACTCGCACACATTAACACCCCACTCCTTTCCACCACTCCTATCTCTTTTTACTCTCTCTCAGTCAATCTGTCATGGTTGCTTTCTCCATCTGTTGCGTACCCTCGCTGGCTCCTCCACGCATCCACACCAACCCCGGATCTCCTTGTACATCAGGCGGATGAGCAGCTGTAATGGCACCGTCCACGCGTTCATGTCAGAGTCAAGACAGAGCGGCACCCTACTCACCCTTAAGATAGTGGCAGAAATTCCACATTCCCATAGGGGAGGATCATTCTCTGCACAAGTTAAGGACTGTGGGGCTCCCTACATAGCAGTGCAGTACGTCGTTTTGGCAAACCTTTGAGGGACAAATGGGGCCGATTCAGATGAGAACCATCATCAAGATCACGACGTTTCAGACACCGCAGAGTGTCCACATGCAGTTCCCCCCTGTGCTGTACCACGCATTTAAGGCATCAAAAGTCTCCCCAGGAGTGAACGGGTGGATATTCCACCATGACCATAAAAAAAATCGGATCACGCCAAAAGACGACCACCACTGTGCCATCGTGTCATTATTGTTGTGTATTAGTTGCCGTGTCACCGTATATTTCAATGTGATTGCTGCGTTAGTTGTGGTGCTGCAGGTGGCGGTGGTGGTTGCCGTCATTGGGGTCCGCTGGTGGGTGGTGTCGCGTTACCAAACAGGCGCACGCGTCGGCGCCCATGAGCATGCTAGAAGACGTTGTCCCAGCCCAAGGGCTGAGATGAGGCCAGCGAGAAGAGGCCCCAGCGCTGCCCCTAACGCGCGTCACAGGGGGAGCAGTGGCGCAGCGGTCAGCGCGCCGCGCTACGACCCGGCGACCCGAGTTCGATTCCCGCTCGCGGCCAACACCGCTGACGAATATCTGAACCGGAACCTGGGCCTCCCTGAGTCGACTCGGCCTCGAATGAGTAGCCTGGTGCGTAGTAAACTCGCCACTGGGAGACAAAGGCGGACGGGTGCGGTGCTGGCCTCCCACCCCCTCGTGTGATGTGCCGGCCTTCATAGGTGCTCACTAACAGCACTTGCCCCAACAGTCTGCTAAGGCTATACGAGGAATCTTAGTCTTTGGTGCGATACGTGTGCGAGGTGCAGTACCTATGGACACCGTGCCGTCTATGATCGCCGACACCGTGTGTAGAGCTCGCGCGTTCCCCTTGAGAGACTTGTGCGTTCCCCTGCGCTCGCACACACACACCCACAGCGCAACGTGTAATTAAACAGAGGGTTCAACGCGTGGGCGGAGGAACATATGACGAGGAGGAGGGGGGGGTGGTGGTCAATGTTGACAGAGGCATTCACCGCTTCAACAACGCAGGGACCGAGGGCCTGTGAGAGGTCTTTCCTCATGAACAGCATCAATGCCACTCACCACAGGACCGGATGAAGAAATGTGAGGATCGGTATTGTGAACAACGTGGGGGTTGGTGTTAGTTAAGAGTTAAGCTCGCCACCGTTGGTGAAGATGGGTTGCGATGACTATAAATGATCTCACCAGGTCGGCAGAGACGGCTGGTGGTGATGAGAGCGTAGGGTGCCGTTCACCAGTGCCCCACACAACACCAGCATCCCTGCCACAGCCGGCCACAAACCACCACAACTTAGGCTGCAAACTTCAGGCCACATTTGCAAATGAGACCTGAGTTCTCAACTGGTTTTAAGAAAAAAAAACTTGCAACCACCTAAAATCCATGACACCCACAGCACCAGCATGTACACCACCACGACCATAACTTAAATAAAAAACAAAAACCAATGCACAGAGAACCAGCATGTCGACTACAACACCACCGCCACAATAAAGCAACAAAATAAAAAGTGGTGGTGGTGCTAGCAGCGGTGCTGGTAGTGTTGGTTTTCATGGCGGTAGTGGTGGTGATCGTGGAGTTGATCACTGGTGATGACGGCAAGGGTGGTGGTGATGATGATGTTGATGATGATGATGGTGGTGATGTTAATAATGCTGATGGTGGTGACGTTGATGGTCTTACCTATGGTGGGTCGGCATGTTTTGGTACCCGACGCTGTTGTAGACAAACAGCTAAAAAGAGAAACAACACGCGTTCGGATATACCGCGGTTCAAGTCGTATCCCTCGAAAATTAAAAAACGTTAACTTCATGTTAAGTATCGCTTGTTGTTTTTCATCGTAGGGAGCGGGTATGAGTCGAGGCGTTTCTATTTTAACACGTGACCTTGCGAAGGGTATCCTGCACTGTATGCAGGGCAGGTATGTGGAAGGGTGTCATCAGGTAGTGAATGGGGGTTTTCCTCAACCTTTTCTCTAACAGTTATCTCATCGGCAGCGCGGTCCAATGATACACTACACCACCGCGTACATCTATCCCCTGTAAGAAACACGTTAATGCTGGCTCTGATGACATGCCCAATATATACTCTATTGTACCCGGCATACAAGAGTAAAATTAAGTGTTCACATTGTAATTAAAGTTTTCAATGCTTCTTCAACCACACGGTTTTACAAAAGGAAATCCGCATCGTGGGGCACACGAATCCCGACAATCGGCCATCGAACATTTTTGTTCTCCAATATGATCGCATTTGACCACTGGGTGGCGCTGTGGTTATCATCATGACTGAGATGTTCACTTGCAATTCGTGGCGAAAGGCGGCCGTTGTTGCTGTGGCTCACTGATGAGCCCTTATGAGGACAAAACGTGGGTTTATGATGACTGCGAGTGCCGCGGTGTAATTTCGCTGTGGCTTTCAGTGGCGGTGTCATCGGGGGTTGTTACCATGGGCGCCGCGAGCAGAAGCATCACACCGCAGGTGGTGGCACGGCCCCCAATCGCGTCAGACACCACCCCAGCGAGGATCCCACCTGCAACCGCAACCGGCGCAACAAACCACCGCATCATCAGACATGAACAAGCAAGAGCATCACCTACAACTACAGAAACCGTGACAATATCAGACACCCCCACATCAAGACATCACCTACAACTACGGAAACCGTGACAATATCAGACACCCCCACATCAAGACATCACCTACAACTACGGAAACCGTGACAATATCAGACACCCCCACATCAAGACATCACCTACAACTACAGAAACCGTGACAATATCAGACACCCCCACATCAAGACATCACCTACAACGGCTATATCATCATAGAACATCACCTATATAGACTGCATTGCACTAACCACACAACCACATCAGAGATTAGAGCATCACCCTGCAAGCTTCACAAATACTAACACAACAACAACCACTACAACATATCAACAATGCAATGTGCCGGACCTCAACCTATCCAGAACAATACCTACAACATACACGACAAAACACATCAATATCAACTACAACACATTACATATCACTACAGCAAGCACACCCACTCCAACCACCATACAACCACCACAGCTGTAACAAAAACAACACATCCGAAATCCCTGTTGATATACCATGATTTTCTGAACAACCAAGTTTCAGCAACACATAACAGCACTACCAAAACATACACATACAACCCCATAAGTGATCACTACAATAACGACCACTAAACACATCAGCGTACAAACCCCGCTGCACAACACAAAGCCACACCACTGCGTTTGTATCTTGTGTGCATTTAACATTACCCAAAATTCCTCCGACATCAAACAGAGTTGAGAGGTCACCGGCGGATTTTGAGTCAAAGTGAGCTGCAACGAAAAACAACATCGTCAACGCCAACAACTTCACAGCCCCTATAATGGGTACAATCAACATGATCATCACCAACTTATACATTCCATCAATATCATGAGCTTCACCCATGTCACCATCGGTGGTAACATCATCAACGTAACCATCACCAACATCATCATAACTGACATAATCATCACCACCAACAATATATCATCGTAGTTAGTGTACTACGCTACCACCCATCACCAGTGGCAACTGAGGAGCTCAGATGCTTGAATGATCTAGACACAGCTCCATCAGTGTGCTCCTCTAGCAGGCAATGATGCACTGGCTAGGTCACGTATACCAGATAGAGGGGGCTAAATGGGTGCAGCACAGGCTAAAGAGGAGATGGGTTGATGTGGTACAGGAAAAACGGAGTTGAGCGGTCTTACCGACAACTGATGCCAGTGATATCAACATTGGCTTTCTCTGGAGGGAGTTTGTGATAGATACTACTGGGCAGTTGGAAAGCAGCCACTCCCCTTAGCAATGATGCAAAGCGGAATGAGAGACGCTCACAAAAATGTGCACAGCACCGGGTGTCTAAAACACAGCAAGTTGGCACCGTGAGCAATGCAGACGGTTCATCTGGCACTCGTTATAATCATTTCACGCAAAACACCTGGGGGCTGCCCCGTTTACCACTTGCCAGCGAGTCTTCGACACTGTGAATAGCCTCAAAGGCAACCTAGCGTAGGACAAGCGCCGTGGTGACGTCACCGCCACTTAGTGACGAATGGTAGTTGTTGCTGCGTGTGGTAGCAAGTTGGGATAGTAGGGGGCACAGGTGGTGCATCGGCCAGTCACCTCAGTCAGTCAACCCACGGCACCTGCTGGGTCTGTCCCGTGACCTGCCAGCGGGCGTTCGACACGTCACGTGGCCTTAAAGTGCACCCAACCTGGCGTAAGCGCCGTGGTGAGGTCACCGTCACTTAGTGGAGAATGGCGGTTGTTGGCAGTATGTGTGCGAGCGTATAAACGCAAGCGCCGTTGGTATGCGAGACGGCATGCGGGTGTTGCGAATGCGAGCCCCCGAGGCTGCACCTTGGTTGGAGATGTAGAGGGGCAGCCAGTAGAGGAAGGTGTAGCTCACGAGTTTGGAGAAGAGGAGGCAGAGGGAGAACTCGATGACGCCCTGCACAAACGCGGAGAGAGACAGCCACCCTCGCCATCATCACCGACTCCGAGCGCCATGCCAGGGTGACTCAAGGGGTAACGCGAAGGTGGACAATGTGGGGCGATGCGAGGATGATACGAAAGCAAGGGTGACTTCAGTGTGGCGGAGGTGAGTGTGGGTGAGGCGAGGGTGGGTGAGGCGAGTGTGGGTGAGGCGAGTGTAGGTGAGGTGAGGGTGGGTGAGGCGAGTGCGGATGAGGCGAGGGTGGGTGATGTGAGGGTGGGTGATGTGAGGGTGGGTGAGGCGAGGGTGGGTGATGTGAGGGTGGGTGAGGCGAGGGTGGGTGATGTGAGGGTGGGTGAGGCGAGGGTGGGTGATGCGAGGGTGGGTGAGGCCAGTGTGAGTGATGCGAGGGTGGGTGAGGCGAGGGTGGATGAGGCGAGGGTGGGTGAGGCGAGGGTGGGTGAGGCGAGGGTGGATGAGGCGAGGGTGGGTGAGGCGAGGGTGGGTGAGGCGAGGGTGGGTGAGGCGAGGGTGGGTGAGCGATGCGAGTTCTCCTCACCGGAATCCTCAGGGCGCCCATGAAGCTGATGGCACGGGGAGCCCCCCCTCCCCGGGCGCCCCCCTCCCCGCCGTCGCTGGCCCCCCCCGGAAGTGCCCCCGCGTGGAGACTGGTGATTGACGTCTCCTCGTTAATCCCGGAGATGGGGGCGAGGAGGGGTTCACGGTCCCCGTCCTGAGACACGGGAACTCCGTCACGTACGCTCGACTCACCGTCGCAACCCGAGACGCGCAACGACATCCCTTTGTCCTGTGCTGACATCTATCGTATGCTCCGAATTACAAAGACAAACATTTTCTCTATTATTTTCACGAAAAGGTTGGCAGTGTGACTTACAATCCGGTACGTGGCTTGAAACCTGCCAGCTGGACGTGTAAGCTACAAAATGCAGTCCGTGCCACTAAGTCCGCTAAACAGAATGGAGCAAATGGCTAGCGAGAAAACCTACAGTGGTACTGCACATAGACTCAATATATATTTTACTTACATGAGGAGGCACAGAACAGAGGTCTGCTTTTGTATACTTTGACCGCTACTGAAACTAAACTGACAGTTACTGTCACGGTGTTGAGACGAGTGGCTAGCGCTGTGCACCGTGTGTAAGACAACACAACGCCAGTTTCCGTGTTTTCCGTACCGGCTACTCTAATTCTCACGTTCTGTGCAATCTTACCGTGGCGCTTACCCTTGCCGTATTTGCATGTGTAAACGTTGATGTTTAAAAAGTATTTATATGAACCAAAAGTAGCGGGGATGCGTTTTACTTTCCAGAACATGATTCAATCTTGAGGATCCAGGAGCGTCTCTTTTACATTAAACAATTGTTCCCTATCACATGGTGTTTTTTTTAAATATTAAATTTTATTAATTGCTTGGACAATGAGGGTGACTTTGATCGCTGTTTTCTATCTCTTCTGGTCAATATTTTAAAAATATATTTCTAAAAATTGTATTTTTAACCATGCTTAAATGTTTCCATTGATCTGGCATTTACATTTGGAATTAATACTTGACAATACTTGTGCATTTGATTTACTACTCTTGTGACGCCTTTGTAATCCAGGCTTCACTTAGAAAATACAATAGATGCCAAGACAGGAGCTGAAGAGACACGAGGGAACACGAGGAAACGTACGACGGCACAAGGAGAGAGTGATAAGGGGAGACATCATGACTGAACACACGGACGCATGAGGAGGGGATGTGGAAAGACACAATATGACAACACAAGGATATATGAGAAAACACCAGGATATTCAAGAATTGAACACATTAAGATGTTAAATGCGGACCATTGTTGAGATAGCGAGAGAGATGAGTGGACATAGTGGACACAAGGGAACACACAAGGACAGGACGTGAAGAGGTGATATTCGGCTTCTGTTCTTTCACCTGAAGTACAGCCGGGTTCCCTTGACTCTCCACTGATGCCAGGACACGCATCTAAACATCAACACATCGCCGCAAACACCACCACCGTTAGCATCACCGTGACAATCATCGCGACAACGCTCTTGGCGACGTCTACTGTATCGCGACAAAATATCATCACCACCATCTACGTATGAACAATGCCATCACCAACAGTGTTACCGCACTAACATTACACTCACAAACCTCACCAACATCACCATCACAAACGCTGAATGGGTCAGCAGGGTGGCACAGGTGTAAAGCGTGTGCCTCACATTAAGAACGTCCTGGGTTCAATGCTCGACTCGAGTGCCTTTCTTCTTCATTGCGTTTGAATGTTTTTGGGTTATCTGGTTTCCTCCCATAGCGAAAAAAGAATGCAAGGGAACTGATATTGTCCAAACAGTGCCCACTCGTGCAAAATCTTACAAAGATCCTCCTGATAAAAAAGAGTCTTGAGGCTCTACGATAATTTACAAGCGTATACCAGGATTAGTCTCTTTTACAAGAGTGGCTTGGTGTATTAGTATGCCGGTTGGAGGGTCATGATTGCTATGTATATTCCCAATTGAGTAATATGCGGGTAATTTGAAAGTGTGACAAATTTGGACACTAAAAAAAAGAATCAGTGCTCATGTACAGTACAGGGCTTTCATCCCAGCGTGTTTCCATGTTGCCATGTCCTGTAACCGCGCTCACTCACGTGATGCTGAGGAGGGCTGCATCCAACATCCTCTGGATCTGTAATCAGGCAGACACATCAACGTGCATGTAAACATGGAGATATTTTTGCACGGGTTCATCTGCGCTAGGGACACGGTGACCCGAGTTCAATTCTCGCTCGTTACCAATAATAGTGGCGGATCTTTGAACCAGTCCTGGGCCCCTCGTCTAGGTCGACTCAGCCTGAAATGAGTACCCAGTGCGGTGTGTGTAAACATCAGCAATGTGGAGACAAAGCCGGTTGGGAGTGGTGCTGGACACCCACCCCCTCGTGTGCCATGCCGGCCTTTCAGAGTTGCTCGCATACGGAACTTGCCCCAACTGTCTGTTAAATGCTATGTGGGGGATTTTTGTCTTTTGTGTCTGTAACATAAGCGCGTAACCACTTTCAGCCCTCCTCCAAATGATTGGACTAATTTTCATAAATAATGTGAACATTTACTCCGTTTTGTCTCGTTCTCTGTCTCGTTTGTTCAGTCGTGTTTGTTCCATTAGTCTGAAGTGTATGTATTGTAAACAAAATCTAATACTCATCTACCAAATGTTACAAATTATATGCGAGGATAAGAACTGATTAAATTTACTACTCAGGCACAAATGTATCCGCGTGCTATTCACGAATTGTAAAAGGAGACAAACGGGTTTGTTCACAGTGGAGCCTCCTGGTGTGCGCTGTTTACAGCCAGAACGGATTCACCCTGAAAATGGCTGCTTTTACAAAATGGGTGCTTCACATTACCCTAAATCTATCATGATGTTTCTCGAGCTCAAATTTTCTATTTTTGCTTCTTGGCAAGTAATTTGTCTGGACCCAACGTTTGTTCCTGGACATAGAGTGGTGAGCACAGATCTGCCCAATCATCTTTGTCGAACCTGAAGCACCTGGGTGGTGTGTCCTGGGAATTCCTGCCTGCGAACATTCCACACTAACGATGTCACCGCCACGTAGGGGCACTCGGCGGATGTTGTTTTGCATATGTGTGCGTGCAAGCGTGCAAATGTGTGCGTGCGTGGGGAGCCGTAGCGTAACGGTTAGCACATTCCGCTAAGAAGCTGGTGACCCGAGTTTGATCCCGTTCATGGCCAACATCAGTGACAATTATCTGAACAGGTCCTTGGCCTCCCCTAGGTCGACTGAAATAAGTACCTGGTGTCGTGTGTAAACATTGTCACTGGCGAGACAAAGGCATGGTGTTGGCCACCCACCCCCCTCGTATGCCATGCCGCCCTTCATAGGTGCTCACTAACAGCAATTGCCTCAACAATCTAGTTAAGGCTATACGGGTGATCTTTGTCTTTGTGTGTGTGCGCGCATGCATACGCTCGATGAGGAAGAGAAAGCAGACGAGTCCCATGCCGGTCATTATGATCCCCGGCACGACGAAGGAGTAACCCCAGCTGGTGGAGACCCAGACCCCGGCAATGAGGGACCCCACGATGTTGCCCACCGACGTGTGCGAGTTCCACACGCCCATGATGAAGCCTCGCCTGGGAGGAGACCACGTGACAACGCAACGTTACGCGACGTCGCGACGCAACGTTACTATGCTAAGTGATAGAAAACGACATGAAGATCCTACATGTACAAGGCTCTTCGTACCAACATGGGTTTCAGACCTATCTAGGCCATTATAACAAGTTAACACAACACATGACCACAGTGAGGGTATTAATGATGGTGTAAGTGAATTAATAATTCCTAATTTTCTAATTAAGAAATTAGTCAAAGAGAGGGAATTGATGAATGAACGAGGGTTGATGACCACATTACATTGAGTCCTACTAACCGAGAAAGCGAATGAGTTAATGGAGTAATGAGTGAGTGAATAACGAACTTACCTGCCCTTGCCGAACCAATTTCCAATGCAGGCTATGACGCTGGGCCACCCGGTGGTCTGAACGAGGCCATTCAGCACCTAGATCATCACGACAACACCACAGTCAACATCATCATCATCACCAACATGGTCCCCATCACATTACTACAACCATCGCCAACATCATAATCACTGTCACATAAACACCATCAACATCCTACACACCATCAACATCCTACCCACCATCACCAACATCACCACCACCATTACCACTATCACATTAACATCACCATCAACAACATCACCATGGCCACCACATAAACACCATCATCATCATCACATAAACACCACCATCAACATCATTATTACCACCATCGCATCAATACCAATACCCGCTATGCACCACTAAGTGATGGTGACATCACCACGACACCTGTGCCAGGCGAGATACAATTTGAGGCCGCGCCACATCACATCAATACCACCACCATCGCCAACATGAACATTAAATTACCAATGTCAGCACAATTAACTTTCACGACCACAACACGAGTCGTCTCAATCGTTACACCGTGTCCCCTCACCTGGACGACGATGTAGAAGGGCAGGCTGTGGATTTTCCAGAAAAAGCCGAGGCCGAAGAGAATGGTGAAAAAACCGCTGAGCACCATTCCCACCGTGAGGTAGAGCCTCATGGGCACCCGCTCCCCTATCACCCCGCTGAGGAGAGCACAATACAGTCCAATACTCAACTACACAGTCGCTCTGCAATTACGCAGACACTCCACAATTTCAGTCGCTCCGCAATTACACACACACAGCCACTGCAGTTACACTTCACACACAGTTACAAACACACATAAAACATATGTTTCTGTAGCCAGTGCAAATGATCCATATTTGTTTTTGGTGTTAGGTTATGTGGTGGTAGTTTTGTGGCAAATGCATTGTCACTGACCCCTCCACTACCCACCAAGAGTGTCTCATTTACAAACATAATATATCCGTGCCAATTCATTGATCAAATTCTGACCGATAGAGTTCCTCACTGGTGGCTTAAGAATGTCCATGACTGATGTTGAAATTCAGTTTCCTCCAGGTGCTCTTGATTTTCATCCGCAAGTATTAATAAACACTCATTAATTGGCTCTTAATAGACAAAAAAAATGATGAACTTGGAGGGTTGATGAAACCGGGTTCACCGGCTTGCTGCCTTTCAGCTTGTCTGTGGCTTCCCCAGCGATTTGTGAGATACAATTTTAAGAGAGAGATATATATTTTTAAAGACTAAAGTAAAACAAACTGCTACACGTCACCTGAGGAACATGCCGATGGCGTACGCGCCCAGGAAAGAGTAGTCCAGAGCTCCCAGCAGCTCCTTATAGTTACTGCGATCTGACATCATCAACAACAACGACAACAACAACAATAACAACAACACAATTACTGGCAATTCATTCACATGTCAGATTATAATAGTCACCACTTCAATAATTAGGTGCAGCGTGAGCGATGTGGTCATCTGAGTGGTGGTGTAAGTTGTCGTGACGAGTGGTGCTGTGTTGTAATCAGCATGGTGTAATAGTGCGGTGGGGTTAGTGTGGTGCCAGTGTAGCGTGGTGTCAGTGTCGTGTCGTGTAGCATGGTGTAGTGTGGTACCAGTGTGGTGTGGCTTCATGTTAATCTGGAACGGTGTTTGTGTAGTGCGGGCGTGGTGCCAGTGTAGTGGGGCTTGGTGTCAGTGTTGTTAATGTGGCGTGGTGTCAGTATAGCATGGGGTGGCGTATCGTGGTTTCAGGGCAGTGCCAATGTAATGTGCCTTGCTGTCATACCAAATGGCTTCCAGTCACACCATGTTTCATTATTTTCTTTGAACAGCAGGTTCTCTTTAAAGCTGAATGGTTCCATCCCCGCTGAGCAGTTCTTATGCAGCTGAGACTACACCACCAGGGACATCGACATCACCATTAACATCACCACTGACAACACGAACAATCATTAACGTGTTCTGCTACACTGTCAACACATCAAATGACCAAAAATATCAATATCACAATAAACATCACCGCTACCAACACATCAAAACCGTTCTGTTCCGCCAATACTATCACGGTAATTGTGTGAGAGCTGCCGTTCTACCTGGTACTTCATGAGTGCTACGAGTATTTTGACGGTAGGGTGGAGCAGTGGAAAAACTTGAGCCTCACAGCAAGAAGCGTGTGGGTTCGATTCCTGTCTCGGACCCCTTTGTGGTTGGAGTTTGTATATTCTTCCACTGTTCTGCATGGGTTTCCTCCGGGTTCTCTGATTTCCTCCAATAGTAAATTAAATCATAGTACCTCACTGGCATTGGCCAAACGTCCAAATGTATGTTCGTTAAACGTATTTCGCACCGAACGTAGCCAACCGTGCTAATGCTGAAACATTAGTAAAACGTTACTTCATTAGGATTGCATGCGGCAACATCGCCCCCTACGGAGAAAACCTGACAAGACCATCCTTAAAAAGAGTCGTGAAACTCAAAAAGGCTTTCCTGGGTTAACAGTGGAGTCGTCATCGTCATCAACATAATTGAGTACTGTGATGAATGTGAAGTCTAAGTGCAGCCATGCAAGAGTGCTGTTTAAATGCTGCTCGAGTGCTGGGGATGGCGGGGGAGCATGCGAGAGTGCTGCGAGTTGTGTGCGCATGTGCGCGGTGTGTTGTGTGTGCGCCGTAGTGTAGCGGTTGGCACGCTGTGCTATGAATCCGATGAGCCGAGTTCAATTCCCGCTCATGGCCAACACCAGTGACGATCATCTGAACCAGTTATGGGCCTCCCCTAGGTTGATTCAGCCTCAAATGAGTACCTGGTGCGGTGTGTAAACATCGCCACTAGGAAGACAAAGGCGGCCGGGCGTGGCACTGGCCATCCACCCCCTCATGTGCCGTGCCCGCCTTCATAGGTGCTCGCTAACAGCACTTGCTCCTACAGTCTGTTAAGGCTATACGGGGGATATTTGTCTTTGTGTGTATGCAGCGTGCCTGCACAGTAATTAGTGTCCCTCACCTTAACAATGCTGATGGGTTTTCGGGACATGTGAAATGCCGCATAAAGAAAGAAGGTGAGGACCAAGATGAAACCACGGTGCCTGTGCCACACATCATATGACGAACCGCACAAAGCGCACAGACACACACTTGTGATCATCTGACAAAAGGACGAGGCATTCATTTAAAAAATAAATATAAGACTTTTAGGAAAACATTTTTTGCTCCTGGAGTCATGTCATGAAATGCGGAAATTCACAGTCGGAATTCTCACAGTGAGCATTACACCACCTTGCGTCAGGAAATATCCCCAAACGATGACATGGCAAAACTATTCCTGAAGTCACTTGATTAGGCCTTCTCGTTCGAACTAGTGTCTGAACACCACCTTTTACATTCCACCTTTTATCGTGTGTCCATCCCGCGTCACTCACACCAAGTATTTTCATTCTCACGGCAGGTACATGCCACATTCAGAGAAAACACAAAAGTATTGCGAAGTGTTATTCGTGCAGTCATTGGCGACCAGGCTGAGGCCATTAACTCGCGACGCCCGAGGACCCGGTTTAATCACAGGGTGGTTGCCTGGATTTGAACCTCATCTCTCATCAGTTACCAGCTCCGCGCGCTGACAAAGCACGGAGCACCCCTCATGACCGGACATGCCATCGACAAGACAAGGCGTTGCATGTGAGCATACGGCGAGTGAGGCTACCGGGGGAATGACACCATAATTAATCACACCTCCCTTGCAGGTCAAGAGTGAACATACACTAGACCCACTCTCTCTCACTGACGTGACAGCCGAGAGAGCACTGCCAAGCTTCCCGGAGCGACACATTTCTCATTGTGTGTGCATTACGGACGATGCAAGGCAAAAAATGTCGCACGCAAAGCCCTCAAGGCTTCCTGTGGTCCACTATATCGCGGACCTTATCATGGAACGGAGGAAGTGTTAGCCACTCGGCTTTAGCGTTCACTGAAACTATTCCGGGAATTTGTTTTACAGTAATTTGTTTTATCAAAATGTCCTATGATTAAAAATCTCCTGGATTGCTTTAAGTAGTCGCCGGGAGATTGATGCCAATTCTGGAAGAGACTCCCAGCCAAATCAGGAGGGTTTGGCAACCCTACCCGCCTGAAAACCTATATATGGGCTGTGAATTTGGCTCATCTCGTCCATGGATAATAAGCCAATGTTTCCTGGGAAACATTTTTCATTGCTGGGTTTCAAATTCACTCTTTTGTGCTGTTTATTTTATTATGTAAGTGCTGCTTATGCAATCACGAGTTGTTCCAGGAGAACAACCCGAGGGATTTAAATGCATTTGTGAAAATGTGCATGCTCTTTGATGACTTTTTTTTATACATGTGTAGTGGAGTAGATAATGCGCATAGGAATTGGCCATATACAGTACATACAGACAAGGAGAACGGGTCACACGAGGTCGAACAGGTGGTCGAGTCGCGAGTGGCGTAAACAAACCCAAGTAATTAAGGGAGTCGTGGCACGAGGGCTGTGATTGGTCGAGAGGCTGTTAGCGTTAAGTGGTGGCGTCTGGATGTCTGAGGAAGGGGCGGGAAACGGCCAGCGAGCCACGTGGCAATTAATTAAGGCTAATGCGAGAGGGGATAAAACGCGAGGTGGTTTGAACGGAGAGGTGTGGTTGCTGGAGAGTTGTTGCTGGGCAGTTGTTGGCGAGAGGTGAAGAGATACGAAGAAGACAGCTGGAAATGTTAGGGAAGAATAGATAGAGAGCCGGACCCCAAAGACAGTAAATAGCGATAGGGAGAGTCAGCGTTAGCGGAGATAGATAGAGTCACTGTGTGTGAATAGATGGAAGTCACTGCGTGTGAAGAGATAGCGGCGATACTGTGTGTGAGGAGATAGAAGACGAACCACTGTGTGTGGAAGAGATAGAAGACGAACCACTGTGTGTGGAAGGGAAGACACTGTGTGTGAAGAGATAGGCGAAGAAACACTGTGTGTGGAAGGGGATGCACGGACGATGCTGAAGTAAATCGGAGTGTACGAGTTGGCGGAGCACGGAGAGAATTACTGTGTGTACGGAACGATGGAATAAAAGTGACGGCGGAAAAAGAGACGGTTGTCGTCCGAGTGAATTCACGGCACTACACATGTGCTATTTTAATACACCTTTGTGAGACAGCCAATGAGGAAAATAACTGCCCATGGTGAATTCCATCCACTCGTGGATAACACCAGCCAGGAAGCTAATTCTTACCCCCCCCCCCGCCATTATCATTGATGTAAAGAGCCTCATGAAAGGTGCTGTATTAGCTGTAATTCGGAGGCACAGGAAGTTAATCAACTTGCAAAAATTAAAATGGGCATTTCCGTTAGAGTAATTTGAGCTATTTTCCCCCCTTACCGTTAATGTTATGGATGTCTGTTTATACAAATTTAGTTTGTTGCTGGAATGCCCTGTGGCGCACTTTACACGCGGTACCTCATGTGATACAGACGTAACCAGGAAATGCTGGGAGGCTGTGGTGAAGATTATTATTGACTAGCCTTTTGCCCGTCCAAGGACGGGTTTATTTAAGTAAATCTGAAACTTGCAAACGAAAAGCAGACCGCGACGTGATATATTCATTGCATCAATTCGTGTGCAATTTGTCAGGCTGCAGTGACACAGACCTATTTCATTTAAAGGTTATAATGCCTTGTTCATCATCACGTCCTTTTTACTTGTATGTCTCAACAGCGTCACGGAGATCACGTGATGCCGTGAGGGTTCTGCCTTTGTAGTGAGGGTTGTCAGTTGACGCCGAGGGGGGAGGAGGCGCCTCGCCCCCCCCCCCGTGGAGCGACGTCACCCCCTAATTAATATTAATGGCGGGGGGGGTCCATTTGGAAAACGTCACCTCTTCATGACTATTAATGTGGGGGGCTGTTCGATGTGGAGTGACGTCACCTGCTCATGATTATTAATGAGTGGGGCGGGGGTCAATGTGGAGGATGTCACCTGTTCCTGGGCAAACGTGGCCACTGCATTAGAACACAAAAGTATCTGGGGCCATCCATAAATGACGTCACGCGATTTTGGACGATTTTTGCCCCCCCCCCCTTCGTCACACGGCGTCACAAAAAGTCAGACCCCCCCCTCAAATATGACGTCACAAAGCTCTGCCCCCCCCCCCCCCAAAAAAGTAAAGCATGCTTCAAATCGCTTTAAACTATTGTCGTTGTAGTGCGTATTTAATGTGGCGCTGCACTCTGATGTTGTAGGAGAAAACATTTATTAAAAAGTCTATTTGATTAAGTAGAACGTGATTTAAAGCTTTCGTGACTGCAGGGATTCATATTCTTGGTTCTTTCGGTGACTTTACCGAAAGAACCAAGAATATAAGTAGAACGTGTTGTCTATATTTATTTAAAGTTGCGCATTTTGATGTGACGTCACATTTCTCAACCCCCCCCCCTCGTCACACATCGTCACAAATGTCTGACCCCCCCCCCCCCGGGTGCGTGACGTCATTTATTGACGGCCCCTTATTCAAGCGAAACGGAGATCTTAAATGCGTGCGCACTGTAGATGTAACTATTTGTTCATACATTTACTGAAATATAAAAGGTTAAGCGGTTTAATAAATCCACCAATTAATTATTAATGTAACCCTAATCTCTTATAACAAAAACACACATTTCATGAGCAGCAAATGTCACTCTACCCAAGATACTGTATAAGCGTGAGTACGTGTGCACGAGGACATCCTATTCTGCAGACTACGATGCTACGATACAGTGTAAAGTAAGACGCAGCCCCTGACTTTTCGCTCATTTAGAAAGAAAATTGCATTAATACGGTTAAGGAGCCGTCCATAAATGACGTCACGCGATTTTTGCCAATTTTTGACCCCCCCCCCCATCGTCACATGGCGTCACAAAAAGTCAAGACCCCCCCCTCAAATATGACGTCACAAATCTCTGCCCCCCCCCAAAAAAATATATAAAACATGCTTAAAATCGCTTTAAACTATTGTCATTGTAGTGCGTATTTAATGTGGCGCTGCACTCTGATGTTGTAGAAGAAACCATGTATTAAAAAGTCTATTTAATTAAGTAGAACGTGTTGTCTGTATTTATTTAAAGTTGCGCATTTTGATGTGACGTCACACTTCTCACCCCCTCTCGTCACACATCGTCACAAATGTCTGACCCCCCCCCACCTAGGTGCGTGACGTCATTAAGTGTACAATAACATTACACGGTCTGCGAGAATTACAAGAGGCGGTACGAAACGCAGCACTGACGTCGTGTTGTCCCACACGTGGTGCAAAGCGCTTGCCGATAGCGCCGTGACGAGGTCAGGTACAATCCACGTCTTCCGATTAATGTTCTAATTGAACACTTTTCGTGGTCAATTATTCGAGTCTCTTTTAAACTGGCCGTACCCTTCTTCACAATTATTTCTGTGCGATTCGATCCGTCGAGTAATCAAATGAATATAGCCAGGAGAGTGTGTACTAAACGGTGAGTACATTGATTCTACGTGTTACGTGCATTATAGTTTTGTGTGTGCATTCATACTTTGATGTGATTGCGTATCCGTTTGTGCTATATGATAAGATCAGAATTGGGGAAATAAATTAGACTGACCGTGCTTCTCACTACTCTACCCCCTCGCATGCCACGTTGGCCTAAATGGGTGTTCATGAACAAGCACTTGCAACTGCTGTTCCTCAGGCTAAAGGAGGCGGGTTTAGTCTTTGTTAATGTCAGTGCTGACGTGTGTTGTGAGACCCTGTCCTCGGGGTCTACTCCACTGCGTCAGATCACGAGTCCCAAAATCCCCCCCATCACCCTCCCATCTCCCATCACACCCACACATTCCAAGTCACGCTCGCACTCGCATCGAAAATCAAGCACACGCTCCCTGCCTGTCACCATTACCCGAACATCACACTATCACATCCCCTATAACCCTCACAGCCATCACCATCACACCTTGGCAATCGTGCTCACATCACAATCGCAAGCCCCATCCCCATCACACTCATTTCCTGTGACACTCACAATCTCCACCCCGCATTACCATGTACATTGAACTTCGTTCGCAACGTACGTAGCCAACCG